CGACATTGATACAAGGGTTTATGATTACAAACTAATAGAGGTATATAGCTGTAGGATATCAAATAGATTCTATCCCTTTATCCTTACAACACAAGTGCATTAGATGTATGATGCCATATATCCTACCTCGAAGCGCATCAAGCGTGATTGGTTGGTCGTATGTATGGTAAAATCAAGAGCGAGTAGTAGATATACCTAAATCGTCCGTTAAAATCCAAAAAATACAAAACTATTTTTTAAAAATGATATGAAAACCCAACACAATGTTATCCAAGTTGATAACGACGAGGGCCAATCATTGATCGATCCAACTAGATTGTTAATAGATGTAGAAGGGAATGAAATTAATGAAGAGAATGATGTTAAATTTGAAATAGATGTAGAGGAAGACTTAGATGAAAACCGTAATAATGATGACTAGGATGGTGATTAGCAATAAGGTTTGATTAACCCTCATAGTTTATTTGAAATTGTTAAGGTTACACACACACATGTTTGTGTATGTGTGTGTGTGTGTATGTGTGTATTTGTGTACGTGCATATTTTAATTAATTATGAAAGTATTTTTTGATCATAAAATAAATATATATTAACTCATTTATGGTAATAGAGATGCTTTATATTTGTCATGTTTGATTAACTAATTAATATGATAATTTATAAGTTATGCCTCATGGTAAGAGACGTTTCACATTTAGTAGCCCGGATCGGATGGTAAAGGTCATGGTTTAGACACTAACGACGGCATTGGTCGTGGATGTGGTGTTAGTCTAGCTTTCGCTACATATTGCATGTCCCCTCCCTTTGACCTTCATACATTTCCTCCAGCGAATCCTTATGTCATACCCATCATTATTTGCCATGTCTCGAGCATGAGCCCCATCGATTTGAACCACATGCTTGCAGCTTCCGAACCTTCATCGTCATTAAGGCCCATGTCCTAACAAGATGATCGTCGAGTACACGTACATAGTCTATCGCCATACATCCCTTTTCATATGTCTTCAACATCTATCGATTTAACGTACAATCCTTGCATTTCGATTACTCCCATTAATGACAAAGAGTACGTATTATGTATATTTTTTATGGTTTATTATTATATTAAAATGTTCATTTAATTGTTAATTATCTTATTTGACATATTGTATCTATCTAATGTGTGCTCTCATCGAATCTATAAGATATTTCATGAGCATGTCAACCTATTCGAAATGACATGGAAGTCAATTACCGAGCAAACTAAAGAGTTCAATTGGGAGGAGTTTAAGATAATATGCGGCTTAATTTATTATGTGACAAGTATATTTTAATTAAATTGCTTCGTATTTATTTAAATGTACTAATGAATATTTTTAACGTTCTTGTAGAAGTTTTTTTATGTGAGATTGCAAATTCAATCAAAACATTAGGAAAGCATGGCAGAGTTTGGTATAGAAGTAATATTCCTACTTTCTTTATCACATAAAGACACACCTCAAACTAACGTATGTCTCATAGGAGATATGGAATGCATGGCGAAGGAATGAGCAAACCCCGAGTCTCAAGCCCCTAGATAGATAACCCGAAACCAAATGAGCAAGATGGATGACATCGAAGTTGGCCCATCTAGACATATCGGAGTTCTAACACACACGGGAAGCACACAACACACATGGTGTGTGTGTGTGTGTGTGTGTGTGTGTGTAATTTATTATTTACTATTATTTTAACGTCAATAAACAATTAAGTATATATGTTTCAGCATAAGGAGTTGAGTCGTGAACCCGATACGCATGAGGTGTTTTTAAAGACTCATAGGAAAAAAGTTGATGATAAGTATGTATTCATCACTCAATAGGCAAAAAATATCAAGGTAAGTAATTTATAAGCTTATTTCATATGAATGCCACTTTTATGTAACTTATTAAGATTACTATTTAATATTAAAATTTATGAAATTTTGTAGAAAACCATCTAGAAAATATTTGAGGATGTGGTTGCTAGTCGAAAAACGAAGGGTACTTCAACGCTCGACATCGACATGAACGAGATATATAAGAGGGTCATTAGAGGAGGAAATAGTAAGAGGAAGAGAATATATAGACTCGAGTCACATGTCTCTCATTACTACTCAAATATCAATTCAACATCTAGTTTGACCAAATCACGGTTACATTTCGATATTGAGGTGCCTCAAAAGAAAGTGAAGGACAACACTATTAAACAAGAAGAAAAAATCCAGAAACTAGAGGGTTCTATTACATCACTTCTTGAAAATCAAAAGTGATTAGAGCAAGCATAATTAGGAGCGAGTATGCGATAATGCAACATATGCAGCAGATGTTACCGAATATGTAAAAAGGTAATTCCCCCACAAATCCTTCGACCGACCATCATACGTCGGATGAAAATGCCGATATATGACATGTAGCCCATTCATCACACTATTTTTTTCTATCGAGTCTTATGTTTTTATTTGCCGAAATATTAATACACTTTAATATAATTTTGTATTTAAATATATATTGGATTAGATTTGATATATTATAAAGGATTCGTATTTTCTAAAATTCTATTTCATACTATTATTGTAATTGTTAAATTAGATTGGATATGTGAAAAAGAAAACAAGATATATTACTTATTACCAACATATAAAAAATGAAATAATTAACAAAAAATATCATCCAATATATATATATATATATAATTGATTTAACGATGATTTTAAACCCGTAGATAAATCCAAGCTAAATTTGGTCATAATTAAAGAAGGTTTCCCAAAACCTTTGCTAAATAGAAGCTAAATTTAGTGATGGTTTACCGATGGTTTTTGAGAAAGCGTTGCTAAATCAATGACTTTTTTCATTTTTTAGCGACAGATTTTCAATTTGTTAGCAATGGATAAACCATCTCTAAATTAGCGATGAAATTCTTGTACTATCGCTAATAAATTAGCGATAAGCATTTTAGCGATGGTTTTTTTTATCGTTGCTAAGTTTAATTATTGTTGGCTTAAACTATCACCAAATCAGATTTATTTATTTATTTTTTTTATTTTTTTATTTTTTTAGTAATACAAAAATATAAGGTAGATGTTGGTTCATAAACAATAGTATCTGCATATGAACAATTTAGCTATTTGGTAGGATTGCCATTTAAACTCATGCTATCTACTTGCTATATTTTTTACCAGCTAGACTTTTATCTAGTTCACAAGACTTAATTGAATGCTTTCTGCACCAAGTTTCAACAAAATGAAGTGTAAACTGTACCAAGAGATGGCTTTTAATTTGAAATACTAATGCACAATTTACTCGATATATTAGGCATAAGAGTGTCAATTTCAAGACAGTATGCCTTGAAAGTTTTGTCCGGAGAGACACCAATGGCAAACTCATTTTTCAAAGTGATGACACCCATTATAACTCAGGATTTTGAAAGATCACAAAAGATTAGATATCCTAATTCCTGTCCCAAATTTAAACAGAATGTATAATAAATATTTTTAGTCAATATTGACATTCATAAAAATTAGTTTTCTACATGAGACTTAGCTATCAAACTTGACTCATTTTACAAGCTATCAGACAATCATTCTATTAAGCAATGTGTATACAAACGGGACATTCATTCTTGTCTACAAAACATCAAGAAAAAAATGCATTGTGGCATTGCATCAAACAGTTGACGTGTAACTCATAATTTCCTTTCTTTTAATTTAAAATTCACCAATTCCACATTCTCATTTCAAACCTTCCATTGCAAGTTTAATATGATGCAAATCAATGAAAATGAGTAAAATATATCTAAGTAATCAAACAAGAAAGTAATCAGCCAAGCTCATTTTCTTATGATAAGTACTATAGAGGATGACTGGAGGTGGGCGCTATTCCACAACGAAGAGATTGATGTGTTGTTGGTTCAATGGTGAAGGAGAGGAGATGGTTTAGTGGTAGAGGAGGGGAGGTGGTTCGGGCGTGGAGGAGTGGTTTGATTGTGGACTTGTAGTGATTTCTAAGCTATGTGCTTTGCTTCTTCTTCTTCTTTTATTCATTTACTTTAAAATTTTATGTTTTAGTTTTTTTTTTTTTTTTTTTTTTTTAATGTTAATAGGTAAGTAATGAGTGTTACCAAGGTAAAAAAAGATATTCATATTTATGAATTAATTTACCATTAACATAAATAGGTAATACTATTTTATTTATATTTAACTCATTATCTATTAATATATTTTTAAAGGGTAATTAATTGGTGGATTGGACAAGATGCCTACTTTATACTTGACTCAGAGTCATCCTCAACAGCTACTCTTTTTCTTATCCATCCCTCTTCTCAACTTTTCATTACCGCTACTCAGAGTCAGTCCTTGTTAATTTACTTGTTCACTCCCCTCTATTTTCTGTTTTTGATTTACGAAGAAAAGATAAATGGGCCACACAAATGACAAAACCCTTAAAACACAAGGAAGAAAATAAAAGAAAAACTCGCAACTATAGAAATCAAACAAAATATAAAGCAGAAATTAAATTTTGGCCAAACTTAATTCAGCAGTGCCATAATATATATAATAATAACAACGATGACAGGTAATGCAATTTTCGTATATCGGAGAAACACCCAATTATATAGAAAAGATATACAACTCCAACGGTTTTTAAGAAGAACAACCAACTAGTGGAGAAGCAACAGCGCTCAGAGTGATAGGGAAGACCGCTTCTAAGTTTTCGTGTTGGGTCTGCCACCAACACAATCGGGAATAAAGTGTCAAGAAACTTTACAAGTCCAAATCTTCTTGTTTCTAATCCAATCGTAATGGAGGCCATTCACATATGCGAACAAGCTCTTCCTACCAGGACCTTTCCAAGTTCCAATATGCAGGTCACCAATAAAACTGACCAATTCCAAAATCAAATGCAGCAGCCAGCAGTTGCCACTTAATGAAACACAATGATGGCTGAGTCACCAAGATTGCTCGCATTCAAATAAACTGTGTGAGACCTCCGCAGAAGAAATATTCACCTGCTTACGTATTTAACGAAATCTTTACCGTGTCTGATCTGCTCTGTGAAGCAAAATTCCGTCTCATAATCAGCAGGTGTCATCCCCTTAATTTAAACAGTCAGTTCTGCTTTGTTATTTGAGAGTCCATCCCGCAAAAAACAAAGAAATAGGCCATCTATAAAAGGACAAGTATCATATACAAAAGCCTTTGCTTTTACCAAAACGGCTCCTATTGCAGCTTCTTGTTTTTCTTGTAACATTACTTCTTTGATTCCAGAAAACTTTCAAAAGATTAATTGATCTTTGTTTTCATACATCAGCAATGGTACTGTCTACTGCATCTTCTTTCCTTTTCTTGTAACGAACAACATGCGCCTGATAATCTTCGAGCTCTTTCTCCAATTTCTCAATGAAGTGGCTTGTATGCTCAAGTGACTGCTCATACCTATATTTTTCCAGGGCCTGCAATTTCCAACAGGAAAATCAATTTAATACTGACAATTGAGTATTAACCAGAGAAAGTAATAACTAGACTTTCACTGAACTGGAAAAATGGGTGGTCAGAAGCCAACAAATAAACTTCAGAGAATTCGATCATGGCACCATCATGTTGCCATAACAAAGACATCGGTAATTTTATTAAGAAGATGAGTTAAATTTAAATATTTTCCAAAAGAACAAATGGTTACAAATACACAAAACAGCTAAATGGTTGATTTGTAGACAATCTTCAAGAATTTTTAAATAAAGAGATTTAGTCAAATAAAAATTCCAGATGATTCAAAAACCTTACATGTACTATACACCATATTACATTTCAAGGAACCGACTCCTAAATATGTCATGATGCTACGTCAAATGTGTTGTAACTACTCCCCAAATAACTTGACTAAATAATATGCTGCCACCTACACCACAGGCCTTTTCCCCTTGGCAACGGATCAGGAATTTGCATCAATTCACACTTCCCATGCTTGGATCACTATAACAGATTCAGCCAGTCAGGTAACAATCAGTTATCCAAACCATTCAAAGCAACAAAAACTTCATGCCTCCCGTCCATTGAGATTCTGAGGGGAGGGGGTAACCAAAAAGTTTGACAGCAAAGCCCTTATGAGACTTTCCTCAGGAAATGTAGTGACAAAGCTGAAAATACTTTCCCCATAAGAGAATGACAGTTTCATCTCATCTATCCCACCATAATAAGCCAAAACCTTTTAAAAAGTCTCATCTCATGCAAACTACAATTCTGACATTTGAATTGTTTGCAACCTTCTGAAAATTGAATCCTCCCAGCACCACACGCTTACCTTAAACCACATGCCTACAAAGACTAGTGTCTCCATAACGACATCAAGAGCCACATGCCCAACAAAGCTTGGTAAGAGCACTAGCTTACTAATCCATAGTCTCTTCACACCTAGAAGATTGTTAGCTATGTCCTAGTCTACCAAATTGTTTTCAATTTCAGCTCCAAACACATCCACGGAGAGACCCTTAAAATATTCAAAACATATAAAAAAAAAAAACAAACACAATGGCTCATTGAAAATTCTGAACCAAAAAGAAAGGAAAAGAGATCAAGATGCAGAGAAAACATTGAACTCTAAAACAGAAAAAAAAAAAAATGAAATGAAACTGTAACAACAAAGCTGTACAACAGAAGTCCCTAAAGCATAAAAACCTATGGACAATCTACTACCAATACCTCCGTAGGCATAAAATGTGCCCATTAACAAGAAAGCATTCATAAGAAAGGTAGCAAAATATGACCTCCTTCCTATCAAATCAAACAAGAAATTGAGAAAACTCAAGCATTGAACCATTTGCTGCTCAAAACTTTTGAAGTTCATATCCTACCAGAATATTGCAACTATTCAAGCAATGAATAGTCCTGGAAAATAGATGGTATAAATTCGTACCATTACGAGCGGTGTATCTACCAAGAAGGCATTATGCGAAACCAACAGAAAAAATAAAAAATAAACTACTGTTCCAAGGTTATAAAATCAGCCCCGGTAGTGAAACTGGGAAAGTGAGGTGGATTTTCGGAGCTTCATTCTATGCTGCACTTTCAACATAAAAAATATGCTAGTTGAGCAGATACTTCAAAGAAAAAATGACAGGAACTCACTTTATCTTTAGATAGGGTATCTGCAGGGGACATGACTTTTGGCTGCACATAGTTCTTTCCCCTGTAGAAAATAATGGTGTTGTCAGGTTTGATGTCAATAACAACACCTTTGCTAAGTCGAGCAAGCTCTTCAGCATATTCATGAATTTGGCCTGGCCTGCAAGGTTTGCAAGTAACCTTGACAGTTTCATGCTTCTTCCAGTGAAGATGCATATTGAGAACAACGCCTCCAAAAACTCCTCGTCGACCAATGGGAACATAGTTCTTCTTCTTCTCACCAGTACGCTTGAGATAATGCTTCTCCTCTTCCGTTAATATCTCAGGATCATATGCTTCACCCGGGGTTTTGGGGATCTCAAATTTCCTCAGCTTTTCAATCAACCATACTTCCTTCCTTTTTGCCTGAGGACAAAAACAAAATTTAAGAAAATGCAGACGCCACTTGAAAATAAGTAAAATTCTTCAAAAAGAGTCCAACCTTTTCAAGTTTATATCTAATCCTAACTTCGGGATTAGGAGAATTCATCTTCTTTTTGGCCTTGAGGCGATAGAATCTGAGTTCATTCTGTTTGGCCTTTTTAGACATTCTAACCGATTTGGGGACCTTAGACTTACTCTTCTTCTCTTTTGTTGAAGACCCATCCTTAGTAATAGAAAATCTAACAAAATCTTTGTCTGTCCTCAGCTGCAATGATGCAGTGCTCATATGCCTTGCAAAATTTCTACGAATGCCACCATCTCTCTGTGCCCATAAACAATAAGAAGATACAAAAGATGGTGTGTAATCAAAACTCTCTGATTGATTTTGAACTAGTAGATAACGGTACCAAATTAAAGATTCCCTGCATAAATAAATGGCAATCACAGAAGAGCCTACAAAAAATTATTAAAAGAAAAAAATAATAACATGGCGAAGAAGAGACGAGAAGAAAACGCACCTTCGGATAGCGAATTTAAGTCGGCGACCAATGCCGATGCCTCCTCTGATTGAAGCTGCGATACCCAACATTATTACATCACTCAAACGCCCTAGCCAACGACAGAGAGACACCGGTGTCTTCTTTTTGGAGCATTTACAAGTGAATAACAGAGAATTTAAAAACAGAATAATTGTTGGTAGACGGAGTGAGGAAAGAAGAAGAGGAAGAGGTGCCCTAATAGCGACAGACTGTTGAAATCTGAGGGTCTATCTCCTCGCTTTGTCGTGGTTGGAGGGACTATATTGAAAACATTTAATAGCATATACGGATCTAATCGATCCCAAAAAGAATACAAGGTGTTAATCAGAAACTTTTAAAACATATAGGGACTAATTACGGAAAACAGAAATATGCATATTTCAGAAAAGGACCCAATCAGGGAATGCGGTAAAAGTAAACCTTCACTGCCCCATCAGTTGCACAATTTAGAAAAGGGAAAACCTCAAATATACCCTTACATTATTAGGATGTATCAATTTTATATCCAAACTATTTTTGTATCAAGTTTTTTTCTACATTATTATGATTTTTTTAATTAAAAAATTTTTTTAGAATTACTTAACAAAAAAGGTTAAGTTCTCAGGGAAAAAACATTGTTTCTTGCAAAATAAAATGCAATTTTGGAAGAAAATATTAATTAAAATTCCTGAAAATAGATGAAAATTTTTAATTAATAATTTCTAAAATTTTAAAATAAAAATAATATAGGAAATTGTTTGGTGGAAAAAATTAAAATTGTTTACATAACTAAGCATTATTTAGGTCTACCTTTAAAAGATTCAAAATAACTTACTCAAGCTACTTCTAAATAATACTCTCTCTTAAAACCAAGTCGGTTTTTTTTTTTTTTTTAATCCCATGTAGGGTTATCCAAGACCATTTTAATTAGGTCATCATGAGTCATGAAGCTTTCTATGGCTTCAAAAAGCAAGGAAATGAAAAGTGTTCAAAATGGTCACTAATTTATATATGAATTAGCATATTCATACTGAATGAGGTATGTTATAACCTATTTTTAACACTTAATATTCATTTTAGATGTTTTACATTTTTATTTTATTTTAGTACATGGTGTGGATTTCTCGTGAATTTATTTTTATTAAGAATAATTTTTGTTAGTTTCAAATTTTAGTTCAATTTTCCTTTATCAATTAAAAAATAAAAAAAAATAGAGGAAAAAAACATAAAAAATAAAGGAAAAAAATTTGAACAAAATAAATAGAGTTAATTTTGGCTTAATTAAAGGATCCAATTGAAAAATAATTTAAAACTTATCCGAGTTAATTCGAAAATACTAAAAATATTGGAGAAGAAATCGGGAGTAATTAAGGGTCAATTCGTATAAAATAGAACAAGCGAACCAAAATGCTCTAAACGAAGAACTTGATTATGAGAAAATTAGATATCAACGAACTAAAATAGAATAAGAAAACTAATAAGGTAACCATTTTTAACCCGTCAAAACCTCCAACCATTCCTCATCTCCCTTCCTTAACTTTGTTGGCATCTTTATCCACATCCACATCTCGTACATCGGTCTTATCTCTCCAATACTCAAAATAAAAACAAAAGATAATAAAATTTGTCATTAGCATTCTTTGATTCCCTCCACTCCTAACTTTGTAAAGACAATACACAAAAGAACATGCAAAGAAGAGAAAAGAAAGAGACAAGTTGGGATTGTCTCATACTCATAAAGAGGGAAAGGTTGAGATGGAGAGAAGAAGATCTAAGAGTGGAAAATCAAGTTAGGGTAGGATAAAAACTAAGAGAGAGAGAAAAAAAGGATATAGCATTTTTCGAAATGGGGTTAGGTTTTTTTAGAGAGAAAGAGTAAGAGCGAGGGAGAAAAGAGAGAAAGGCAAAACAAAAAAAGAAAGAGTTTGGAGAGAATGAAAAGAATAAAAAGTGAAAAGAAAAGAGAGAAACAACATCCAAGCTTTTCGACAAGTTTGGAAATGATCTAATCTACTAACCCCGAGCTATTTAATCCTTTTTTAAACTACAATATGTAATCTCCTACCTTTTTACTTTATCTATTGTTAATCTTAGTAGGAAAAAATATATTGGGATGTTCATTGATGCTAATGGATCTCATAGTCAACGTAAACCCTAATAAATATGATTGTTAGTTGTGTTTTGTATGTTTGGTACAACTCTAAACATTTTTATTTTTTAAATTTTTTGAATGAACATCATCTATGTGTCTCCAATCCATATGTCAAATTTCATGTGTAGAACATAAGATGGTTGTTTTTGGCCACAGACAGATCTGATTTTTCAAGCCAAAAATAGTTATTTAATATTTTACATTTTTGACATAGTCTTAAATGTTTTTACTTTCTAATTTTTTTTATGAGAAAACCATCTACTATTCCCCTATATATATGGGAAATTTTATATCTTTATCATATAGTATGTTTGTCCATTTAAATTACTCTATTGTTTGTATTATGGTATTGATTTTTTAGCTTAAAATGACTATTGTTTGTATTACATGTTTAGTATAGCTTTAAATGCTTTTAACTTTTGATTTTATTATATCATCCATTTGTATATAATCCATGTGTGAAATTTCATATTTTTAAGATATATGATGATTGTCCATTTAAGTCATCTTGTTGGTTGCAACGGCGAGTGGTTTCTTAAATTAGAAATAGTTTTTATCGTGCCTTTTATGTTTAAGGTAGTCCTAGATGTTTTATCTCCTTTTTTTTTTTTTTGTATGAATATCATCTGTTTGTCCTAAATTCCATTGTGAAATTTTGGATTTTTAGGACATAGGATGGTCATCCATTTAAATTATCTTGTTAGCTAGGATAATAGTAATCTGTCAAACTAAAATTAAAGGTTGTAGTAGTTTGCATGTTTGATGTGTCTTTGGATGTTTTAACATTCTAATTTTTGTATGAGCATCTTGTACATGTCCTTGATTTAGGCTCAATATTTTAGAAATTTAGAATGTGTTTTGGCCTTCTATCTAAACTTAGTTTGATTATTGCTTGCATTTATAATATAGAATGTGAAATTGTCGAGCCTTCTAAATTATAAGGATCGAAAATGATTTTCATGCAATTTTTTTGTTACAATTAATAAATGACATTCCATCTTGGATTAATTAGAAAAATTATGTCAAGCTAACGAGTCTCTTATTTAATAGAGACGGACGCTAGTCTTGACTCTTTAATAAAAAAATAGAATTAGTTAAGATAGATATGGACTATTGGCCTTCGACACCCCACTTTAATGCCCTTAGCTAATTAGGCCTTTCTTTGACATGTTGAATGTGTCGGGACGTAATTATATTTGATGTTAAATTGACAAGACTTCTAGTTTTGAGAACTGACATCAATTTAATATGATTCCATAATAAAAAATTAAACAATCAATTTTAGAGACGTTTTTTATATGCATCCAAATAAAAAACACCTTTAGCTATTAGGTCTTTTATTGACATACCAATCATATTAGGATATAATTGGATTCGATACTAAATTGATGAGACTTTCGATTTTTGGACTCAATGTCAATTTAATATGATTCTATAATAATAAAATAAAAAATCAATTTTTGGAAACATTTTTCATATGCATCCAAATTAAAATATCTTTAACTATTAGTCATTTCTCGATATGCTAATCATGTTAGGATGTAATTGAATCCAATGTTAAATTAATAAGACTCTCAATTTTAGAACTTGATATCAATTTAATACGATTTCACAATAAAAATTAATTTAACCTAGACGACAACTAAGCTTGAAAACGGACTTAGGAAATGATTTGTCAAATGTAAATTTTAAAAGATACTTTTAGGATTAGTTTAAATCAAGTATCGTTTCTTGAAAAGATACTTTTAGTTTTATTCAATACTACGTGGCGACTTCAAACATTCTTAATTGTTATCCCTTAGTCAAGACAATTTTGGGAGTCTCATTATGTCGAATAGCAATAGTATGACCACTCCACTAGGGATTCGGAGTTAGGCCATATGTTTAGTATTTCTTAAATTCATCTCTTTCAATTATGTTTGCTATTTTATCTTTAAGTCATTTATTTTTCAAGCATTTTTTAAATTTAAATTCAAGTCATTTACATTATGTAAATCCATTTATCTTTTGAAATTCAAGTCTTTATTTTGATGCTATCATTTGTGAACTCGGGTTAGATATGCTTGTTAATGTTGCCACACACATCACAAAGCCACCCCGTAAAAGCTTTAGACTTGAGCTAAAATCTTATTAGGATTTAGATAGAGAGATCTAGTTGATGAGTATGAAAAAAGTTCATTGATATTCATCTAAACTCCTATTTAGATTGAAACTCACTCTATACATAAGAAATTATGGAATGTTTTTCTCATACCTCTCGTAGCATATGGTGAAAGGCTAGGCTATCCTACTAGTAATTTAGACAATCTACGAGACTTGAAAAGCATTCAAGATTAGACAACTTTGCCTAAAATTATAAGAAAGCTAAATCATATCTAATAGGATTGACCCATTAAGACATAAACTCTTTTATAATGTTGCCCATGCTAACCTTTTTTTGACAACTTGTCATGATTTGAGACCCATAACATCAAACTAGTGTATCTAACTCTGGTTTGTAATTTGCATGCATATATTTATTTTACATAATTCTTGTATATATTTGTTTTGAGTTATTAACAAATCAAAATATAAGCCATCATACCAAAACTCAACTCTCTTTTTGAATACACCACACTCAAATCGATGACACTCGATGGATAATGAAGATAAAACACGATTGAAGCGAGTCAACCAAAAAGAACTAGATGCTATAAAAAGGAAAAAAAATCATCTCACTAATCTGCTAGAAAGAACACTACAATAGATATAAAGCAAAGAACGTCTTGAGCTAAGGTCACTCAAATGAAATTCCATACCCTACCTTCCCACCTAAGGTGGATACACGACTAGCACCTTCAACCACCCTACTTATCAACCCAGGGGCAACTATGTTTCCTCGTAAGGCACCATTTTCCTACAAGGAATTCCCTATCACTC